GAGAAAAAGGCCTATAAATGCGGTGCAAGGGAGCACAACAGCACCCATCTCGGACCAAGTCAAACCAAGAGTCTGCCTATCCAACGTTTACTTTTTGCATCATGGATATCCCCATCCAGTATCCCTGGTACCGTAGGGCCTTCCAACATCGACTCTCTGATCACTCCATGGCAGAACCTCTCACTGATTGGCCATTTTTCTGGCCCTTCCCCTGGTCCTTCAACTCGATGCGCCCTTCATCAATGCGCTGGTTCAACTGGCCCGAAAATGGATACAGTGAGGTAAAGTGAAATTATCCTGTGTCCGAATTTACATTTTCTGATGTGAATTACCCACAGTTTGGATGCTAACCTTAAAAATATGACGAATATATCTCGTAAAACATCTTATATGTCAATAAGTAATGTTCTGCAGTTTAAAATGATGTGACGGGCCAGTAGATGTATTAAATGCACATACATCTTTAGAATATGAGATTTGTTATGATTTTACATTATATAGTCAAATATGACACTGAAGAAAATCCTCTTTAGTTCCCTGTATAATTGTGTATGTTTATGAGGCTTGCACTGCTTGAATACAAGCTAACTGCTGTTGTGTCTTATAGATGCGCATTGAAAAGGATCGCTATGTCATTTTACTGGATGTGAAGCATTTCTCACCTGAAGAGCTGTCTGTCATTGTCAGTGACGGATCCATCACTATACACGGCAAACATGAGGGCAGACAGGTCAGAAGGACTTTTAGATAGAGATCTACAGAAATAGTCAAACAAAAATCTATTTGTTGACAATTTACTGTTATTTTGTTTTCCAGGATGACCACGGCTTTGTGTCAAGAGAGTTTCGGAGGAAGTACAGACTTCCTGCTGGCGTGTCAGGTGCCGACGTCACCTCCAGTCTGTCCTTTGATGGTATTCTCACCATCACTGCACCTCGGTCATCTTCCGGCCCTGACCACCCTATTCCTGTTTCCTGTGAAGATGGAGCACCTAAACAGAATATGTAGAGCGGAGTGACGCTACTCATTACTATTAACCCCAAGTGCAGCCTGTTTTTATAACTAACTTGTTTCAGTAGTTTCATAGTGCACTTATGCAGTAGGCAGGGGATACAGGGTTAGATGACAAGTGCCTTATATTTATTTTGAATCTTATTTTAATTCTAAGTCGCTGCTACTCTAATGACTCTGCCAGACAACGGTTCTTTTAAAACAAAAGCTAATTGACTATATTTGACAAAGTGTTGCATAGATGTACATACACCTCTGTGTATGTACAAGACACATTAAGGGTGATGATCATATTTGTAAAGCAATTTCCTTTAGCATTTCCAAATGTTATATAATCTCTGTGCTGCTTAGTGATACACAAATAGTTTGTATGGGATATAACCCTGCAGCTCCCTTTTAGTGGAAATTGCAAAAGTACATTTTAGGGAGTGGAATTCCAATACTTTTTCAAAATTGTCCTGAAGATGATAAAAGACAAAAATTGTCAAACGTATTACATTTACAGTAAACAGTACTGTCTGAGTAGGTATGCGTAAGATGCAAACTGTGCTTTGTTTATTATTTTAGAATAGTGTTGGTTTCTGTATGTTTCAGGGAGGAGGGAGTTCTCTGGAAGCATATGCAGTCATTTTTAGTGTGTTCAATAAACACTTGGGACCAGGTGTGTGCACGTTGAGAGGATGACGTGTGTGAATGAGCAGGAGGGAAAAAAGGGGACTATGGAGAAACTGATGTTTGGAGGGGGACAGATTTTATCACTGGGCTCCTTTTCTGGTGAGGAGCATTGCCTCTGAGCTGCTAAGGAAAGTGTGTGTGTGGATGTATGTGAGAGTGAGTGCATATGTAGATGCAAGAGTTACAGATAATTCCTTCATTTCGGCTCCAACCCTCTGGCATATTAACACAGAAAACAACAAATAGAATAAATATTGAAACTCAAAATCACATCTCTGCTTTGTGTTCTTTTTTTAATGTCTGTTTTTGAAAGGCAACACATGCATACAATACATTTGGAGAGAAGCGGAATCATGATTCATTTATTTGCAGTGCAATGCATTTGTCCTCTACTGCAATATAGTCCCCTTTAATAATACAAATATTATATAGAAAGCATCGTATATTTTGTAGACATTATCTAGATTCTAGACAGTTGTCACATTGGTATATTTTGTGATGCGAAAACATCAAAAACAATGGAGCACAAATTACGTGAATCAGAAAAATGCGAAACAGATACAATCAGAACGATGGAGTATTACAGAGAGTAAAACAGACACAAGTCAAATATAGAGCGTTAAGCAGCAATAGCCCTTCATAGCGCTTTGACATTTTCATTATGATCACAATCTAGAATCATATGTTGTTGTGCCGAGCTGTTCATATCTTCTAAGGTGCAGGATATCAACAGTTTGGATAAGCAAAACTACATATCAACAATCTGTGTAAGATCAAAACATATGTTTGTCTTGGACATACAAAGTTTATTACCATGTTGTTCTCTTTGTTGGTAAATGCAACATTAGTTACAGTAGAAGTCCCAGTTCTGAAAATAAAAGAGAGGCAGAATTAAAAGAAAGCATCACTTATTCTTTACTTGTGTGTATAAACTGTATGAGTGTGTGTTAACCTACAGTAGTCTCGACTTCGGTGCTGGCTGGCATGAGGGGATGGGTCTCCTCCACTACGCTGCTTGGGAAGTGACCAATGCGAGCCTCCTGCTGTCCGTAATAGGAGTCTTGTACCTGAAAACAGATCAACTCGATTTAAACTTGACATGTATGACTTTAACAAAGACACAACAAGTGTTTTGGTTTAGAGCTGTGTCAAAGCAAAAGCATTTTTTTAACTTACACTGCCAGCCCAGAAGAGGTTCCCTCTGTCTCTTAGCATCGCATAAACATAGATGAGCTGGCCCTGTCTGATGGGGATGAATCTGCAGTCTCCAGGGTAATAGTCCTGCACTGCACGAGCTATTAGGATAGGATCTGTACAGGAATAGATATACAAATATATATAATGTCATATTGTAATGCACATTAAGAAAGCTTAGCATGTGTATTACCATTCTACCTACTGTACTGTTGTGTGACTGTCAATATCAGCAAAAATAAGTTAGTGTGCTACTTACGGCTGCATTCGGAGTCAGCGCAGAGTTTCTTTTCAGAGAGTTTAGGCATCTGCCTTCCAGCTTCAGAGGTGGGCAGCAAAAGCCACACTGAAAAAGCAAGCCAGAGTTTGCAATCCATGTCTGTATTTGAACTCACCTACTGATCCAATGGTCTTGTTTTAAGCTTAATAAAAGCTTGTGGGCTTTCTGTTCTGTTTGCTGTCTCTGAGAAAGAAGAAGGTTACATGGATGGCAGTCCCTTTTTCTACTCTCTCTACCCCCTTACCTCTTACACAAACACACACAGAGCTCCTTTCAAACCCTAAAAGCAGGTAAACAGGATGAGGGTGAGGAGGAGGGCTGGATTAGACAGACCCCTGCTTGTGTCCTGACCTTCCCCTCTCTCCACCCCTCACCCTGTGTCACCCTTGCTCAAACAGCAGAGTGTAAAACTTTGTAGAAACACATTCCTCAGAGTTAATCTGTGTTTTCCATTCGTTGTTCCGCCACTAGATGTCAGAACATTTTTGCAACAAACATATTACTTTGTCCCAAAGAGTATTCCTCTCCCTGGTTCCCTTCCTTTACCTTTCTAATAGGAGGAGGAGGAGCCAATGGCTGTATTTACATACTGTATGTTTCCACTGCCAAGGAAACCAGCTGAGCCTCTCTTGTGCAAACACTCCCAAACACAGTCACACAAACACTCACGCATACACTCACCAAACAGGAAGACTATACCTGTTGGGTGTGAGTTGGCCGGGAACTGTCAGGTAAGACAGACTTACATTTTTTTTCCTCCAGAGTTGAACAGGGTAATAGAGATCTCTTGATGAAAAAGGTTAATGTTTAGAGGATAAATACGATTAGTGTTCTTTTGTAATTATGTATAACAGGAATACAGCATGGTTTCAAGGTAGTTCTTTAGGTGAGATGCCAGATTGTGACATCAAATTTAAAGACGAATCACGTGGGGGGCTAAAACTTCAGAGTGCAGCTACAGTGTGACCAAAATGTAGTTTACATTGATAAAATGATGTCATCATGTTGTGGTGGCAATGTATTTTCAAGTGTTAATTTGGGTAAAACATCAACAACGCAACACCAGGACTTTAGAGACCTGAGACTTACTTCAGAGACATATTTTTAGGACATGGAGCACATTACCTTTGGAATTTAGGGAGGGGAGTGAAACAAAGATTACAGGGAAGCTGGTATTTCGGTCAGAGTAACAAAAGCACCTGTTAGACAAAAGACCTCCTTCAAGGCAATGTGAGATTGTATTACTAGATAACAACTAAAACGGTCATGCATGTCCTGATTTTCACAGTTGACGTCAATACATCTGTTTGTTGAGGTTTTCTGTGCTATTAATGGACTTTTTTTCCAATAGTTTTATCAACAAAGAAGACAAGATTTGAACATCATTAGGACTCTTGGAAGCAGACATATCTGGATTACAAAAGTGAAAAATCAAACTCTTCAATCCTCTCTGGACCCGATCATCAAGTTACAGAAAAAGGATTCCTGTTTTTTCAGAAAGAAAAATATCATGGCGGTCCACCTGCCACCTGTGTGATAACAAGTCCAATATCTGGGACGATGATTTCTATCTAGACCCACAACACAAGACTGCAGCTATCAACAATGTTCACCCCTAGAAAAAGCAGCCTCCCGTCCCCCAGCCTGGAGGACTCCTTCTTCCCTCTCTCCTCATCGTCCTCAGTCTCACTTTCCTTTGCTCTCCCCTCATCCACATCCTGTCTTGGCAGCAGTGACAACGGAGGAGGGATAGAGACGGATCTGATACTAGCTGCAGAGCTGGGGCAGGCTTTACTGGAGAAGAATGAGGAGCTGGCAGCCTCCCTGGAGCAGAGGGAGAGAGAGATGGAGGTAAGGATAAAGCTGCTGTAAGCAATGTTTCCTGTGACTGTGCAAACACTATACAGTTATTGTGAGATGGGAAGTAAAGGAGCACAAACATGTTTTAACATAGAGAAGCATGCATGACATTTAAGTAAGTCTAGATGTAAGAGCAATCATACATGTGGACGGCCTTGTAAGTCTGTACATAATTAAGATCAAAGTTTAATGTATGCTTCCTCAGATAATGGAAATGACAGTTCTCACATCCTATTCAACCAGTGCTGAAAACAAAATCTTAGGATTTAAAATGTAGTTTTTTGAAACGCAGATATTAACAACGCCCTAATGTATTTTCTTGAGCAGTAAAACAAGAGAGGGCATGTCACAAAGAGAGGATGGGGCCATAATTTGAAGTCACATTTTTTGCATTCTTTTGTCTTTACATACCACATAGACACAAAACTATTAGACAGAGGACAGCAAAAAGAGTAGAAGAGCAGAGAAAAAGTTTGTGGATGGATAATTATATTTAGTTATTCGTATTATTATATAAAATGGTAGTAGCGATGGTAGTATTATTTATTTGTTGTTTTGCACACTGCTTGTATTCTGTAAGTTTCTTGGCTGTTACTAAAGACACATGCTGCAGGTACACACTACATCAATATAGAGGTATAAATCTAGCTGTCAGTTTCAGGGACAGATTTACACTACAGGCAAAAATCTGTCTCTGATATAAAGCAAAAAGAACAGGCTTTTTCCACCCAATATATTTTGAAACTTCACAGCAAGAAAAGATCAGGTTTAAATTAAACACTACATGTGTTTAGTTACATCAGTTCTGTTTTTCAAGAACCAGCATCTAATCATGTTGTCTCTAAACACTTATACTGCCTGGAAACTCACACAATTGCAGAGATCACATGAAATGACCCAGGTATATTATTATTATTTATCTTGCTTGATCCCAGTTAATGTTTTCTCTATTGTCTCAGGCTTTACAGCAGGAGAAGCATGTTCTGCACAGGAAGCTGGAGATGAATGAGCTGGTGTCTGGACAGAGAGAGGCAGAGCTGACTTCAGATTTAGCTGCTTTGAGGGCAAATCTGGAGCAACATCACAGCCAGGGGCGCGACCGGCGAAGGGACGAGAGTGAGCAGCTGACTCAGTTAGCCAATCATAACCAACGCCTGGTGGAGCAGCTAGCAGAGGTGGGTTTATATCAGTAAACAGGCAGCCTTTACCCTGCCTTAATGAGCTGCTAACCCACAAAAGAAGTCATGACAAGTATGTTTTAATGCTGTGACATTTAAAAGAATGTAAGTGTGTGTATGTGTGGGAATTGTCTGCATATGTCATCACAGTCACGCAGACAGAAAAAAATGCAGACCAGCAGGTTCATGGAGGCCCATCTTTGTCTCTTATTGTAACAAAAACATTTCTCAACTTTTTTTTAATCTACCACCCACTTAGGCGGTTACACTGGAGCACTCCTTAAGGACTGAGCTTCGTTCCATCAGAGAAGAGATGGATGAATCATCGTTCAGCCGAAATATCAACTTCACACAAATAGAGAACATTCAAGCAGAGGTAAACCTACCAGTCACTTTTGAATGTACATTGCACAAGAAAATCAATGATGAAGTAACTGAGGTGGTTTGAGTGTGACAGTCATAAACACATTGTGCTGTCTTCAATCGATAGTAGGCCGTTCCAAAAAGTATTATTTCAAATGTCCAAACAGTCTGAAATGATAATACAACATGAAAGTAATGAGAGCTGTTTTTAAGTATTGGCATTTGAAGGCCAAACATGTAGCTGTCTCAAATGTTATTGTTTTGGTATTTTATCATGTCGAAAAGTTCTGTTTTGAATTCTAATCATAGGTCATTCTTTAAGGAGACCAGTCTTTCAAAAGTCAAGTGGAAATCAGATCTCAAGATCTCTCTCTCTCTCTCTCTCTCTTAGACTAAAATATAACATCCTTGAGGACTTTAATGTTACATATTTAATAGCGTCAAAATGTCACTAGTGTTAATAATAACCATTTTCTTTTACCTCTGTCATCGCACCATTAATTCAGTAATTTTTTATTTTGTTAATCTTTTTCTTCTTCCCAATACAGAACAAAGTTTTGCTGGAGCGGCTTTCGCACATGGATGCTCAATTAAGAGCTTCACAGGAGGACAGCGATAGACTCCGCATGGAGAGAGAGAGACTGAGAGACAGACTGTCAGAAACACAAACAAATCTGAAAGAGAAAGAGGCAGAGGTGAGGATGGACGACTGACTGTTATTTAAGATGACATTTTGCGTTAAAAGATGAAGGCTGAAGGAGCCGGAGGTGAAATCATGTGCTGCAAGGAGATATTTACTTGTCAGAATTCATAAGGGACACCTAGTTTGAAGTTCTTGACCTTTAAGTGTGTGCGTGCACCAGTCTCTTACTGTATCTGTGTGTCTGTGTGTGTGTAGATAGAGCAGGAGCAGGGAGTGGTGTTTGAGTTACGAAGCGTGAATCGCTCCCTGCTGCAAAACAGTCTGAATCTGGGAGAAGACAGCTTTCTGGACAGTAGACAAACAGAACCTTTATCTCTGCATAGTGAAATTCAGCAATCACAGGTACACACACACAAAAAAAAAAACCTTCTTATGATAGTTAGAGACTGATCCCTACTGGTTTTTCAAAAACCGAACCTCTTCAAACCCAAATTTGCATCTAATGCCTTGACACCAATAATAAGTGTTCTAATCTTACTGAGCTTTCTATCTGTTGTTTTTATCTCTCCTTCCAGGCCAAAGAGGCTCTTCTCGCTCACTCCACAGTCCTACAAGCAAGAGATGAAGAGATACAAGCGCTCAAAGAGGAGGTCTGTTGATCAACCACACATACACCTTTCATAACCCAATTTCACATGGTGATTGACCTGAGAAGATACAATACAGAAGTCTTAATGGGTTGGTTTAGAAATGGGTGTACATACATACATACGTGCTACTATGTATAGCAATATATTTGTCTAGAATGTACAGCTAATCGAGCAACATAACAGTCAGACAAGTGTGACTGATATTTAAGTTAGAATGAATGCACATCCATCATGCTACAGTCCACTCAAAAATAAAAGACGTAAAATGTAAGACTATTTCTGTGATGAGTTGTGGCCAAATACAGTGAGGCAAAAAAGTATTTAGTCAGCCACCAATTGTGCAAGTTCTCCCACTTAAAAAGATGAGAGAGGCCTGTAATTTTCATCCTAGGTACACTTCAACTATGAGAGACAAAATGGGGGAAAGAATCCAGGAAATCACATTGTCTGATTTTTAAAGAATTTATTTGCAAATTATGGTGGAAAATAAGTATTTGGTCAATAACAAAAGTTCATCTCAATACTTTGTTATATACCCTTTGTTGGCAATGACAGAGGTCAAACGTTTTCTGTAAGTCTTCACAAGGTTTTCACACACTGTTGCTGGTATTTTTGGCCCATTCCTCCATGCAGATCTTATAGAGCAGTGATGTTTTGGGGCTGTCGCTGGGCAACACGGACTTTCAACTCCCTCCAAAGATTTTCTATGGGGTTGAGATCTGGAAACTGGCTAGGCCACTCCAGGACCTTGAAATGCTTCTTACGAAGCCACTCCTTCGTTGCCCGG